TGCAAGTGGAAAGAGAATTACATGGTGAGAAAGTGGAGATACTTGTAGAGATGAAACAGAGTTGTAAATGTAGAAAGGTAAGCCCTTGTTTGGAGGTTTTATTTGACTTAATTACATAAGTTCTTTAGTATATAATGCTTAATCTAAACATGGTTCATTGAGCAGTAGTGGTGGTGCCCCAAAAATCTAAATTGGTTTATTAAGGCTGTGTTTGGCTGATAGAAAATAAGAGAGAAACAAGAGATACTAATTACTAGGTCCTAAACCACATGAATCCGATACTTCTGAACCCTGCATATAAAACATGTGGCTAATGTTTTGTACTTCGACACAGTCTAGTGTTCGCCTGATATGTATGATAAAGGATAATGTTGCCACTTGACAATTGGCACGAAAAATAATTTTATCATCTTAGAAGATGTTTCTCCAATGTGAATTGTTTTTATTATTACACGTTTCAAAAACAAAACAAAAGCAACTAATTAGGAAACAATTTGATTTTCAAAACAAAAAACAAAGAAGTATTTTCTGTGTGTTTTTGTTTCCGATGTTGAAACAAAAAAAAAAGTCTTCTTGAATTTCTAGTTTAAATAATATGATTTTTGATGTAGCGCGATTTGGTGCTCCGCTAATTAACAGACAGTTTAGACGTCGGATTGAGTAGATTGTTTGGCCAAGCTGCAAGAGAGAAGTGATTAGACTGTCAAGGTTGCTTTACTCGGGGTGAGGAATCTAATGCTTAAGTCAACGAACTGATGTTTGATAGCAAGAAAGCTAGAGAGCCGTGTACCTCCTTTATGAAAGGAGATGTCTTTATATATGCTAACTATCGTGAGCTCCACGAAACGCATCTGAGATCTTCAGCCTGTTTGGTTCGGAGGTGGTTCCACGCTTGAAAATGGACTTTGCGTAAGCTGATAATGCTTATTTAGTCTCATCCGAAGCGGGCAGCATCAAGATCAGCCTCGCCGACGTGCCATTGTTATCTTGGGGGAATCAGAGATGGTTACCTACTCAAGAAGGAAGTCACTTGTCACACCAGGTAGGTCGTTGATTGGATCTGGGCTAGGTTGGCGGAGGTAGATCACCTCTTTACGCTGACCTGATATCTCCCGAGATGCCCGTTGGTCGTCCTGCTGAGGTGGGGCTGAGGAGGTTGAGACAGATGCCAGGTGTCTGAGTTCTGCTTGCGTGGTGCCAAGATGTTGGTGGATAGTTCTGTATTGTTACGTGTCGTGATATCATTGGATGACCAAATCACCCCTCATCAAGTTTGGTGTTGCCCCCACTCTCGAGTTCGGCGTGATCAACTTGGCGAGGGAGTAGTATTAATCCCGAGGTGATTTGGCTCGAGTTCTGGTTTAGACCATGGTCCAACCAACGACTCAAGATCGGATTGGCTCGATCGGCCTGGCTCAGCCATGAGAAGTGTTCTAGGCACACACAAACACCACATAGTCATTAAGTCCTAAGACATAAAAAATGTGCTAAACTAATTTTGCCTCGGAATACGAACCATCGCATCTTGCAAATTGTTGGATCCAACCGATCTTAACCGTCCATAGCTCGGCTCGTCTATCTATAAATAGGACCCTTGGGAGCCCATTTCCTTTGCCCCTAACTTTGAAGTTTTGGTGCATTTTGAGGTCGAGGAGCTTGGCGTTGTCGAAATAGTTGGTGTCGTTAGCGATGTTGGTCTTATTCATTCTTAGGTGGGTCGTCCTTCCTTTGTCTTGTCTTATTCATTGAGGAGGGGCCTTCGGCCCAAGAGCGACAAGGATCTTAGCGGCCAATGGTGAAGTGCTGGTCACCGACTGTGCTGACGAGGTGGCAATTTGGCTCGCCTCCTTTTCCTCTTCCTTCTTTACTTCCTCATTATCATTAGGGGCGAGGCGACTCCTCCCAATGTTGCGGTGTGCATGCCTACAACACCTTCTCCTGGACCCCTCAGTGGAGCTGGTAACCTCGGACGTCACAGTTTGAGTCAATTCCATGACAAGAACCTGACTCGGATCATCGTGATGGCAAGGTGGATCCAATACCTGGTTCTAGTTCTAGTCGTCGAGCTGCTAATTCTAGTTCACGTTTTGACTGGCGGCCTGGTGTTGTTGATGTTGTTGCTGTTGTTACTGTATCCCATTCATTGCTACAAAACGACCCTCCCATGTTCTCATCTGTAGGTCTATCCTGTGAATGAACTACACCAGCTCGTGAAACTGGCGGCCATCAATCCCAACAGGAACCGCGGAGGGCTCAACCACTAGGAGAGGCACATTTATGGTGGACAAAGGAAGGTTAAAGCAACCTGGACACTCTGATCACTTCTCTCTTGCAGCTCGACCAAGCAACCTACTTAGTCCGATGTCCAAACTACCCRCCAACAAGTAGCACCAGATTGGGCTACATAAGTTTTCTTTATTATCTAATATCATATTTTATAAATTATATAATTTCTACACTTTAAAATTTATTTTTATTTTAATAATTTCAAAAACGTGTATTGTTTGCTTTTTAAAAAATCAACCTCAATTTAAATTATAAGAAAAAGGGTTCGACTATGACGCTAGAGAGACATGATATTTTAAAATTGTCCCAATCAACTACTATCATAAACATATTAATCAATGGATTAGGGCTTGTAAATATCTCTTTTGGAGATGTTAGTAACATTAGTTATTGTTAGATTGGCGCAATTTAACCTGTAAGTCACGACAGACGATATTTCCTTTGACATATTGCTGCATCCCACCTTGATGTTGTTTCAAAGTGGGGTCACGGCAATACATCAAATTGAATTGAGATCTGTTACTCACAAGCATTTTTTACACCAATGTCACAGTCGCATCCCATCGTGTATTAAGAATATCTCCCTTAAATAATAAATACAAATGTATGCCAGGATATACTGTGAAGCCGGTGTGAGGAGCGTTTTATAAGAAGCAAATTACTGGTAAGCGCTTCTCACACCATATGGTTTGCTTAAGAACACGTAAGCAAGGTATGCATCACCTTACACAATGCTGGACACGTGTCTATCATTAGGAAGCTTGGAAGGTTCATGGAATGAACCTGCAAGTTCAATCTGGTGTCTTATTCACTGCCAAGTGGCAAAGACTCGTGGAGTCATGGATTAAACAGATCCAGTACAAAGACCAAATTATCCTCACCTATGTGACATCTTGACATTACGAGTTCACTCAGGCATCGGACCCGCAAATCTCGGACTAAGCCAAACAATGGTAATTGGGTAAGGTGGGTAGTCTCCTTCTCGGCTTCTGGTCTTCGGTTATTTTCCCGAAAACTTCCAAAAAGCCAACCGGTGTCGAAAACTACGTGTTTTGACAAACATGAGCCATTAGCCATAGGCATCCAGTGAATGTTGATAGAGGACCAAAAATATCTGCTTCTTATATACGCTAATTGTAATCTACAAACTTAAAAACGTTTAGCTGTTGCGTGTCTCACGAGTCAGGCACCCACCCGTCTTTGTAGGACCAGTAATGATCGTCCACGGTAACTACGATTTGTAAGACTAGGTCCCTAGGTGGCCCCACCAGGAAGGTGAGATGCAGACAAACTGGACAATGCTAAAGTACGCACATATGGAAGAGACCACCAAGCCTACCATGGCACTGTAGAACTTTATTCCTCACCGGTTGGTCTCGTGAATCAAATCACCGGTCACGGGGTTTGGTGGGGGCACGCCGGCACAGCCACTCATTCATTTTTTCTACTTGTAAAAGAAAGTGGAAACTGGAAAGTCAAAAAAAAAAAAAGATAAAAAAAAAGAACAACTGTGAATAGAAAGCTATCTACGCAGAATRCGCCGGGAAAATGACCAAACACTGAAAATGCTCGTGTCGCTACGGCATCTTCAGCGGGCCCATTTGTCTTTTTCTTTAATGATCTTGACCGTTTAGTAGTAGGTGGACCACACAAACCATTTTTTTTTTTTTAATTTAACTTCTTTTTTATTTTTACCATTTAATAGCTAAAATATTTTCAATTTTATTATTATTGTTATTATTTCTATAAAAAGTTATCATTATTATTAAACAACGATTAGAATCACCAGATAATAGTAATTAATTTGCTCAATAAATTATAAATTTAAATAAACAATTTATTTAAGGGTTATTTATTAAAACACCCTTTCACATGTTTACTAAAACCTATTCTATAATTTATGTTTTATTAGAACTCCCCCCCTATAATTTGCAAGCCATTTATTTTAATCGACCTTTTATCAATAGTTTTTTATATTGCTATACGAAAATGATAACTTTACGGCTTATAGCGAGTTGAAAATGTTCAAGGGCATGAGTTTATAGTATTTTATTTTAATTTGCAACATGTTGTCCATCATCAAATAGAAAATAAAATTGATTGAAAAGAATTATTATTCATATTTTACTAGGGGTAAGAATGATATTTCCATTTTAAATTTTCTGTAGAGTAAATTGGTCCCGACCCGACAGACACTAAGGTTAAAATTGTTATTTTTCCATATTTAATCCATTAAATATCATTAAACTACAGGGGATGATTTAATAAATGACCCCTTTATTTAATCCCATATATTAATTATAGATATTGTTATAAAAAATATATATATTAATTATATATATTTTTTTTGCGAAAAAACGAGTCAATCATATCACCACCACACATCTTGGTTCAGCCGTCCAGGACCCGCCATTATTTGATTATTATGCACCTGCTTGGCTGGCTCTTATTCATCTCTCTCTCTCTCTCACACACTCCGATTTTCTTAGTTTTAGAAGATTAGAGTTAGACCCTTCTCCTTTAAACAAGGAAGACTTCCTCTCATCACTCTATATATTAACATCACCACACCTCTCTCCCTCAGAAAGAGTGAAAGACCTCCTCTCTAAGCTATTCTTCTTCTATTCCTCCTCGCCATTGGAACTCAACTCTCTTCTCTCTCCTCTAACCACTCTCTGTAGACTCTCTTTCTCTCTCGTTACAGTTTAAGAGTCATGGCCCTCTCTCGTGCCATGCTCGCTCTTGCCGTGTCGTTGGCTCTCGTGGCTACGTGCATTGCTCAAGCCCCATCGGCTGCTCCTACGGGTTCCGCCGCTCCACCCACGAGCACGGCAGCGCCGCCCCGCGCTTCGACCCCACCTCCTACTGCATCATCTCCACCACCCAGTGTTGCAACTCCACCTACCGTTTCGCCTCCTCCTACCACCAACACTCCTCCGCCCGCTTCACCGCCGTCGATCACAACTCCTCCGGCGTCTTCTCCGGCTGCAAGCCCACCATCACYGCCTTCACCACCCACGACACCTGCATCTGCTCCTAGCGTGGCAACTCCTCCCACCGCCACCTCAACGACGCCTCCAGGTAATACCAGCCCAACGCCCGTGTCTGCGCCAACTACGCCAGGGGGACCATCTTCGGGCGCGATTGTACACGGAAGCAGCATGGCCTTGCTAACATTTCTTGGAGGAGTTGCGCTCCTTATCTAGAGATAAAAGTGGTCATATTTGATTTGGGATTTTACTTAATTTGATGTAGATTAAGATAATTATTTGTGTATTCTTTTCCTTTTTTTTTCTTCTGTTGATTTTTGGAGGTTCATTTGTGAGGGGAGATGAGGATGATTGGAGATTGATCGGACATTACTTCTCTTCTGTACCATTTTGGCTCTAGGTGAATAAGAATATTTGTGATTCTTGTCTGTGTTTCAGCCTTTCTCAGGCATTTAATTAGTGTATATAGAGCTTCAGTCAAATTTTCTGAATTTTGCAAATATATACTCAAAAGGAGGTAAAATGGTTGGCCCAAGTTAATTAACCATTTCCCCACTTACTTTTTCCTTTCCTTCTGGGTATAGAAGTCAGGACTGAGTTTCAACAAATCATTTAATGTTTTTGAGTAGTGGGTACGTACATTAATTAATTCATTACCACAAGATAAGCAAAATGAAGAAAAAATTGAGTGGCAGCTAGCTTGAAGATGGAGGAGGCAAAGGGTTGGTGGAAATGTTGTTGAGGTTATTGTTGATGGTGGTGATGATAGGGATGGATGGAAAAGAAAAAGAAAGTTAGGTACTAGCTGGTAAATTGGAATCATGTGGAAGAAAATGGGCATGGTGGCTGAGGTTGCTTTTGGGAGGGACAAGACCTCTTTTGTTTTTTTCTAGTGTTTGTGAGGAACGTTTAAAGAAGAAAGAATAGTTTATATGCTGATGGAATCATACGTGGAGAATGGATGTTACTCGTTAGTGGTGATAGTGGTGGCCTGGTGGGGTAAATTAAGGACAAAGGAACGTGAGGAGGAAAGTGAAGTGCACATGGTCTGTTCTGTTTTGAGCCACAAGATCATTAAATATATCTATGAGAGAGAGAGAGAGAGAGGTACCCATTTGCACACTTGGTCTATAAATTATAAAAGGAAGGAGAGAGAAGTACCCATTTGGCCATTTGATCAAATTATAAAAGGGAGGGAGAGGTACCCAATTGCCCATTTGTTCAAAATGTTAGAATGAGGGAGAGGTACCCATTTGTTCAAATTAGAGAGTGAGAGAAGTACCCATTTGCCCATTTGTTTAAATTGTTAGAATGAGGGCCGGAGAGGTACCCATTTACCCATTTGTTCAAATGAGAGAGAGAGAGAGCATCGGATTGGATTATACCTCATTTCATTTTTTTCGTATTTTTTTAAGTGAATGTTTAAAAACAGAAGTAGTTTTAAAAAAATGTCGATTTCTATTCTTTAAAAATGAGAAGAAAAACAGTTTGCTAAATTGTGTTTAATAAAACAAGACGTTTTTGTTCTTTGATCATGTGTAAGAAAAGGGTGTATAGAGGCTTCAGTGTGTGAAGCTTAAACCGAAACCTTATCCCTGCTGTAAGCAAACATGAAAAAAAAAAAAAAACTCCTTTCTTTTTCTAAACACCGTTTCCTATAGGTCTAGAAAGTAGCATAGTTTTTTGAAAGAGTAACCAGTCCCCATTTCCTATCCTTGAACCATAAACGGTTAAACGCCCCTTCAGCGAATACAAAAATTGGAATTTCCGTTTTCAAATCACCTTAAAAATGGAAACAACCCATGTTTCAAACACACTCAAAACATCAAATGCAAGGAGTCCAAGCAAACAAAATTCCTTTCCTTGTAGAACTTATATCAATGCCATAACTCTCATCAGATTGGAATGAACGGTGAATAAAACAGTTATAGAAAGGAGCTAAGCCCCTAAAATGGTAGTTCTCATTCTTACCCTATTTAAAGAATCTTGGTGTAATTCAATTTAGCTAAGCTTTATACCAGCTACTTATGGTCATTCTGCTATTCTACTCTATATAGTCTTCTAACTTCTAAATAATGATTTCTCAAAATTTCCTCACCATTTTTAACACATACCCTTTTCTGGTCCTCATCTAATAGTTCTTAAAGCTTCCCTTATTATAAGGTTGCAATTATTGATCACAATTCCTAGAACTTTCCCTTAAAAAAATTCTCTTTTATTCTTAATTTTCTACCCAACCAAACACATCCTAAGATAACATGCAATTCTTTTTCTTTAATCGATTCAACCTGCATGAGATATTCGAAAATGCCTATTTTATTTATTGAATCAACACTTAGATATTATCTCCATTCTGTATGTTTTTATTAGTTCAGGGACCATTCACGCTACTTTGTCTTCTCTTGCACATAAAGAAATTATGGAGTTGACCGGTTGACTTCACTGGACCAACCAGTCACAAATTGATTTGAAAGAAAATCAATTATTTGATGAGTTATTGCAATAAATACAGCCTACCTTATCAGCAGTTAGTGAAGACCTCCATGTGCGAGGCATGTGGACAGCTTCATAATTTGTTTTATTTTATTTTTGTTATGTTTTTCCTTTATTTTCATYAATTTTCTGAAAAATAAAACTATTTCAATTATTAAAAGACAAAATCTATGGTTGAAATGTGAACAATAAAAAGGCAAAATATATGATAAGTATAACTTATTAAACGGAAAATACATTTTAATTATGAAATATAAATTAGTAAATGATAAACAAAGTTTAACATGATTGATTGAGATCTAAATTAACGTATGGCCAATATTAATGAATGCACACCGTACGTAATTGAATTCTTATTAAAATTTATGTTCTAAATTTATGGCTTTAGAGCTATCCACTTATAAAAGGCCGAATCTAATTTGAATCATGACTTTTCTAAGTTTTATGGTGAATTTAAAGATACAAAATGGGCCGGGTTAGCCCAAATCCAATTGGATGAAATTCGGTTTGGGTTAACCTATCAGGTTTGAAGATTCAACAGTTCGGGTAGGGCTACAGCCGACCTCTAACCGACCTAACCTGGCTCCATTTTTCACCCTGCAAGTGTCCCACATTGGATAAGTCACCTGTATGTCCCTCTTTTGGACCATATGTAGCAAACCAACAGAAATGGTCCTTATCCATTATTGCAAGACCCAACTGTACAAAAGTATCAGGTTAAAGGGATCCCACTTAGGGGCCAGATATTCTCACAACAAAAAAATTGTTTCACGTTCCAACATGATTTGTGTCCGCACATATATGGTGGGTTCTATCTCATGGTGAGGTGTGTGGTTACAGATCATGTTGGTACGGTTTGAGAACTTGGACTATTCTATGATTCTATTAAGTTTAATCTAATTAGAAAATCTAAATAGCTTCTTTAAAAGTTAAAAGTTAAAACTTTTATTTTATTATTTTATTATAAAATAAAGAGTTTATTATATATTTATAATTTTATGTATTCAATTTACATACATTATATTATATATAATATTTATACATCATATATTCATATTATATATATATATATATATATATATATATATATAATTTCGATTTACAGTTTACACTTTGATTTGGTTTATGAAATCCAATAAATCAATCCAAAACCATAAACTGAATTTAAAAAACTACCAAACCAAACCAAACTACAAATTCAGTTTGRCTTTATGGTTTGAATGTATAATGAACATCCCTAGTACTATCTGTTCGATAAGACAAATGAAAATTCGGATTTAGTCCTCACAGAACCACCTTTAACACCATCCTCGGTCTTTCTCGGTCCGGAAACATCTTTTATGAATAAAACATACAAATACAGAAATATTCCCAATACACGATTGCAAAATACTAAGATCCAAATCCCCTCTCGACAAATGGACAATCAAAGGACCCTGCCAGTGCCACTTCCCCAATTATTAATAATGGTCGGACAGTATCTTGTATAATAGTGTTAGCAACAACCCCCAAAACTTGAAACTCAGAATTATTCGGATAACTGGACTATTGAATCAGTGATTCCAAATTTGCAAATGACAATTGGTAATGGTAGATACTGATTCATTTCTGATCAATTTAATCACCATTAATGGCAGAAGTGAGTTCCCATGTAACTAAGAAAAGCTATAATAAGGGCACCCTTTTCACCATGAAGTGACGATCCAGCTGAAGTAGGAAAAGTGGGTAAAGAGTTGTCGATCTTGGATGAGGGATGCGAAAGAGTAGAGGTAGCTCCTGGTTCCAACGCTGAGGCCTGAGGTGCCTTAGCCACTGCTGAGGCCGCCTGATTCTCAAGCACGTTAATTTGAAGCTTCATCCCTCCGAGGCAATACAATTTGTTTCCACAGACAAAGAATCTCTCTCCTGGGCTGGTCAATACAAAACTAGTGTTGCCGTTGCTACTCGTTTGAAGCATATTGGTCACATTACATCCACTGAAATCTTCTTTGTTCACCTCAACCACACTGTGGTAGTATGAGTACTGGAACACTGAGCAACGAACACAAGTTATAGAGCCCCATCAATGAATAAGTGCATCAGATACCAGTAGGGGGCATGGTTTTTAAAACCGATCCGGTAAGGGGTCTGGTTACCAGTGCAAACGGTCCAACCATTCGATCTGAACGGCCGGCCTATTCTGACAAAAAATTGAAAAACGGTCAAAATCGTTCGAACGATTCGGATGGTTTGAACAGTTAATCGGCCAGTTCAGCGGTTTGCTGACCAAAATCAACGGTTTTGAAAAAAAAGCGGGTGGAGAAAAAAGCGAGTTTGGGGAAAAACGGAACCGGTCAAATGACTGGTTCTCAGTTTTTCTAGTCCGACCGTCCAGTCCGGTCCGATTTTAAAAACCATGCTAGGGGATGTCAATTGGACTGGATTTAGTCCAATATGAGTCCATTACAGATGGACCAGGTCCAATCCAATTCAATATATACTATAGACCATTTTTTACTAGTCCAATTCATTGTCTGGACAACCCAAACCTGGTCCATTGACACTTGTTTTCTTATCTTCTGTTAATAAACCGGATATTAGTTCAATCCAACCCAATCCAATATAAATCTATTATGGATGGATCAGATCCAATCCAACCCAATATAAATCCGTTATGAATGGACTGCAGGTTCTTCATACAATATTCTAGATGTGTGGTGTATGATGCACTTGTATCCCATATACAAGATAACATAAGGGTGATAGATATTGATTGTAGAGTAAGTTTTCAGTTTTTACTTACATAGAACATCTCCCACATAGAAGGTTTTGTCTTGGGCCCATGTATCAAGATCAGCGCTTAAATCCCAACCAGCGATATCCCCAACTACGTACTGAGTTGCATTGCATGTAAGGCCAACGCTTAGAAGAATAACGAGATCACAAAGCAGGGGAAGCTTATAAGCCATTAACGAAGAGAAAGAGAGCAAACTCAGACGCAAGTTCTGGTGCTGGGTTGTGATATATAAGGTTGTATTTGGCATTCCTTATTTTAAGTATTTATCTCCTTTTTCCTTTTTGTAATTAAAATGTTTCTATGAACACTCAATGTTTAACTACAAAAAGAAGACAAATCCTTAAAATAAGGAATGTCAAATGCAGCCATAAGAACAGATGGCCTAACTTCATGACCAGCATTGGCTTCTACCCTTCTATTAGGATCTCTGTCGGTCTTTGTTTGCGTATCCTTGTCATTAAAATCTTCTTTCTGGATCCGTTGCATGGTCATTTCGTTGTTTATAACCAAAATTTACATGGGCAAAAGCGTCTTTTGAACTAGATTTTTATTTTCTTTTTGCATTCATCCCATTATTTATATGTTAATTTTTAAGTTTATTTATTGGGTTTAACTATAATACCAAAAAGATATATATGATACAGGAAAAACTTAGATCCAATCAATCGGTATCATAAAAGAGGTAATCAATCAAAATTCAATGATATTTTTCACAATTGATGGGAGTTCTATGATTGATCGAAGTTCTTCCCATATTATGTCTTTTTGGTATCATAGATTTTTTCTTATTTATAATTTTGCCATGCATAGTTGTCCCCTTGGGATTTGCTTAGGGATGTCAATTTTTTCCATCTCTGATGAGGACTTGACTTTCGCAATTTAAAATTTTATTTATAATTTAAAATTTTTATTTATTTTAAATAAATTTATTTTTTCAATAAATATTGTTATCTAAAAGAATCAGGGACCCACCACGGAAAATTCATCCCAGGAATGAAAGACAAATTTTATCCTCAATAAGAATCAGGGATAAAAACAGAGTTAATTTCATAATTAGAGTCAGGGACGGGAAATATGATCCCCGATCAATCACGAGAGAATACATGAGTGTATCGTATCCATGAGGCCTACATGTCAACAAATGGAACAATAATGTGTTGACTTGTAATGGATTACGCGGCGAGTGATACACAGCCATGTGAGCAGAGATACTGGCTTTTGGTAGGGTGGTTGTGTAATTGTCTGTTAGAAGGTACAGGTGGTTGTAGGCAGTTATCTTCTCCAGCTCAAGAGCCCAACATTACCCCTATTCTGCTCCAAAAATCAATTGCCACAAATAATTCAACCAAGGTGGTGTTTGGTATTTGAAATCTAATTAGGTGAATACATGGGACCCATAAAAAGGAGGGTCCTGATCCTGGGCTGATGTTACAAAGATATATTTTTACACATAGATCCAAGTCCAATATGTTCTCGTTGGTGGTTTATACATTTAAATTGTCACCTAGCCGAGAGGATATCTAATCTATCAGATATCAAAAGATGAATCAAATATATTTAAGAGATCTGATGGTTATGATCGGACCACGTGCTTCCTGCTCGAGGGTCGAGATACCTCCAAATGTGACCCACTAGATATTGCACCTTTTTATCCTAGATAATAATATCATAATGTAGTGATTAACGATGGTCTTAACAATTATGCCTATCAGACGGTTGAAACCCACCTACAATCACAGTTGATTTGGACGTTGGAACGGAACCGTCCAGGCAATTGATTCCATTTTCTTAAATTTAGTCTTTGTCTAAAAACCATTGAATCAGTCAATAAATTATTGATTCGGACAGTCAAACCATTGACTTGTTCAACGGTTTTGGCCATTTTTAAATTTTAATTTTTTTTTAATTAATTTTATTAAAACAGATCATTCATTCAGACCAGACGGTTGAACCATCGACTCAGAAACCAGTGGCCAAAATGATCGTTTTTTAAAACATTGATCACATGTGCTAACTACTAACATATCCTCCCAAGGACCAGAGCACTCACTTTCCAACCATACTTGGGCCAATCTTCTAAATATTAAGTCTTGCTTGTTATGTCCCAAATTGATTACCTTTTGGCCCATTTCATCTAGACCAGCTGCTTGTTACCTCTTAAACCCTTTTCTATACTTCTTTGCTCAAAATTCTGTGTTTTTTAGCTTAAAACTTTGCCCATCTCTCTCTCTTTCTCTCTCACACACATACATACATTTAGGCTGTATTTGGTTTGAAGGAAAAATAAGGAAATGAAAAGAAAAGAAACCTTTATAAACCTTGTATGAATTTTCCTATCTTTCCTTTCCTTTCCCCACTTTTTCCTTCAAACCAAACATAGGCTTAGGGATGAGTTGTTTAGGTACCCAACGCTCCCCTAACCCAAACGTAAACAACTTCCAATATATTAAATTACAATGTTCCATTTTTGTGGACATATGTTGCTAGCTGTTCTCGTGTTTACTCAGAGTTCGCATAATCTAATCCAATATATTAAATTACAATGTCAAGCTTTAATTAGAAGGCAACGTTTGTAGCTTGATCTGACTTTTTTTTTTTTTTTTCAAGTTTTGGAAACTAAGCTGATTTTGTAAGTCTGAGAAACGTCCAAAATCTGGAAACAAGTTGCCATCTTAGTTGGGGTCTGCCATTTATTTATTTTGCTTATCTATCGTTGATATAAGATATGGGATTTCCTAGTAATAAAAAACAAACAAAAAGTATTATTATTATTTTTTTTTTTTGGCAAAAGAAACAAAAGTAAGAGATGGGTTTCCATTGTTTTTAGATTGCGAAAACAATAGAAATATATTTAATTATGAGAGAACCTTTTAAGAAAAAATAAATTACTTAAGACAAGATTCAAAATATCATAACGTAGTGTCTTACACTGCTGGTCTCGAGCAGCAAACTCTATGGATCTTGACGATGTTGATTGCATTGTAAGATCACGAAATTCAGGATATGGATTTCGATGATGTTGATTGTATCGTAATAGACATAGGTTTAGCCGAATGCAAATAACAATACTCCACACCACTAATAAAATATATGGGACCCATAAATATTCAATCCCTCTCACTTAGGGTCCCAATTATTTTATAATGGTGTGGAGCTAGGGTTGCAAATTAGTTGGATTAGATTCGATATGAATTCGATACGATCTGTTAAAAGGTAGATTTGGATATTCCTCCTGATCTTAATAAATAGGATCGGAAAAGCTGATTTATTAACTTAATGGATCGAATTCGGATATYGGCCGATCCTATTTTTTAATTATAAAATATTATATATTTTAATATATTATTATATTATATAAATAAATATGATTGTAATCGAATCAGATATTTGATAATACATTCAAATTCGAATCATGCTTTTGAAAATCCAATAAATCTTTATCGGATCTGAATCAGTCAGATATTTTTGACGGATCAGATCGAATATGACCTTAACGAATCCGATCCGATCTATTTACGGCCCTATGTGGAGCATTATTATTGGTTCTACAGCCTGAATTCATCGTAAAATATGTATCATTTTTTAACCTACTAAAAGTCCTAATCAAAGTTCAAAACATTGATACGGGGCATTTCGATACTGCTTTTTGTTGTTTTTATTTTTTTTATTTTTTTTTACAACCTGTTCAGGAAGCTGATTTAGGATTCCTCCACCCCCTGAACCGGTCAGATCACCGATACACCCACTGTAGGGGCATATCAGAAAGGTCTCAGAACAATCCATATCAACCTATATCGACTGATACATATTAATACTTTGAACCTTGGTCCTAATATTGAGATTAGAGGAAAGGCCACATTCCCTCTACCCGTAATATTGTGTTTAAATTGAAAAAAAAAGGTTTTTATCGAGAAAAAAAAAAAGAAAAATTGAAGAATACGTATCACCCTTTTGAATCATGCATTTACCATTCTTGTGTGAAAACCTATAATATTGAAAAGACACGATACTGGAAAGGCTTTGACTTAATCAAAACCCTCCTATTAAGTTTTGATGAGTAATAACACAAAGAAAACATGTATCACCCGCTTGGTTTGTTTTTATCTCATTTTCTTCTACGCCTTCCCTAGATCTGCCTTACTCGGTTGTTCCCTTTCGATACCTTACCTAACAATGCTTGCAGTCTTTGGTGCCACTATTCATGATTTTGATGGGCAGAAAACCATCACCTCTGTTACCACATTTATAGAAGGAGAAGCTTTCGTGATTGGGTTTTGGGTTTCCTTGATCTGCTCAGAAATGTCGTTTGTCTGTCATTTTCACTTACGTAATTGAAGTACTAAAACTCGCCAAGCGATCTCTGTTTGCTTAATGGGATATGCTAACTAAAAATTTGTCTTTTATCTCTGTGTTTCCAATCCGGCCATCGCTGACCCAAGCGGTTAAACCAGTAACAACTCCATGAGCAGGTTTTAAATGATTTTGTTTCAATAATCCATCCGGTTAAACCATTCACCATCCAGGCAGCTTTCCGCTTCTGGATTCGATGTCTGGATTGGTTTTTACAACACTGATACTAGCTCCTGCCTGCATTATTTGGCTCCATTAGAAGCCATGGCTGACCCAAGCGGTTGAACCAGTAACAACTCTATGAGCAGGTTTTAAACGATTCTATTTCATTAATCCATCCGGTTAAACCATTCACCATCCAGGCAGATTTCCGCTTCCGGGTTCGATGTCTGGATTGGTTTTTACAACACTGATATTAGCTCCTACCTGCATTATTTGGCTGCATTAGAACTGGAAGTTGATGGACCAAGGATGGTCGGACCATTCAGCCCAGAAACTGGCCACTGGATGGTCGAATCACTGACCTGGAAACCAGTGGTCAAAGTAATTCTAGTTTTGGAGCAGTTTCTAAAGAGTACGCGTTTTGTGCACCCACCAGTGCAGTGGACGAGTGAAACTACCAATCGGATTTGACCCATTGGCTATTCAAATGTTAACGGTCAAACGTGCGTTAACTTGGATTCAACGGTTCAACCGGACACGAACTGGAGCCAAACCTCATACTGCAAGATTTTTGAGTGATTTTCCTTGGAGCTTTCCTCCTACCACTGAACCCTTCCTCCATCGACGACGACAATGAGAGCTCTGGTGGTTTTTGTTGTGCACAGTTCATGTTGGGA